CTGTCGTGCCCTGTTTTTACATGGTGTTAGGGATCAGAGCTCTGGTCCTCATGAGTGTGCCCCAAGTACATTACTGACTGGGCCATCTCCCTAGGGTCTTTGTTTTGAAGACTTTCTGATGAAAGATCTTTCTTCTACATTTGCTTTTGTTTATTTGGGGTTTGTTTGTTTGATTGATTGATTTCCTCATACTTTTGGTTCTACAGAATTGTCTTCACCCCAAATTTGTTCAGTTGGAAAAACACCCAAAGGTAGGCAATGTAGCCCAGACTCAATGCTAAACATAGCCACACTTCTTATTACACCCTCACCTTCATTAAAAGTATGGGCAAAGAGGCCTTGGCAGCAGCAACAACCACAAAAACAAGAGAGAAAGCAGCTGGCACTGGAGAGCCTTGTGCCAGGCCCCAGGCCCGCAGGGAGTCTGCCATGATTACAACGGTAAATAGACAGAGTTGATGACTATGCTGGGCACTGGACCCTGCCAGAAAGGGACAAGGAAAAGAGGATTCTTATAATTACACGAGTGCAGGCTCAGCTCTCATGAGGTTCTCCACAGCAAACGTCGGTCCCCAGGCTGGGTCCTACAGCAGCACCTGCTCCAGCAGAAGCAGTTTGGCAAGCCAAACAAAACGTGATTCACGCAGGCCACCTGTAAAGGAATGTGAAGCTTAACAACCTGTGCGGGGCTCCTAACTGTCTAAATTTACTTGGCACCTCCTCGCGGGTGGGTGCTCAGCAAGCAGCGTAGAGTGAAAGACCATTTCCTGCTAATAGGGTTTTATCCCCTATCCCATAATTTAACACTATGAGAAAGTGGGCCATTGGAAAGACCCAAGCACCATATATTCTCCCGCAAACCCATTTTGAGTATCTCTTATGTTGGCACTCCCTATCCAGTCTAGTTATAAACATCTTCTTTCCTCGGGCTTTTTCAGCTGCTCCTTCCCTGCTGCATAATTTGGGTTATAATTATTTTCTCATTTTCCCCTCAAACTGGCATGAGTCTTGGTTGCTTCCGTTGTGTAGATCCTTAAAATGTCACTCTGTCGCCCTGGCTTATTTTTAAACCCCAGAAAGATGGCCCATCCTCATATCTCTTAGAAAAGTTTTCCTGATGACGTCCTATGAGTCTCCACTGAGGGAAGACAGTAAGGCAAGCCAACAGCACACAGCTGTGCATCGTTGCAAAGAAAAGGCAGCAAGGCGATCATGTGCCTTCTGTTACTATTGGAAAGCAAAGGTGGGCAATAACTAGAGCAGGATCGTGTGGTGAGGGTGTCCCGTGAGTCAAACGCCTATTGGATTTCCATGTTGCATTGCCAAAATCAAAGGCTAGCTCCACTGTTTACGGCCTTCTTAAGTAAGACACCTTTGAGACAAAGAGTTTAGTCTGCTTCTGCACCTGTGGCCCCAAAAAAGTGATCCATGGCTTATCCCTGAAGATAGATGAAAAAAGTTTGTGACAAGGCTTCACAATAAAATAATGAATATTTTCCCTTTTCTGTCTGACAATGTAAGTGCCAACTCATCGACTTTCAAAACTCTCTTAGATTTTCTTTCTTTTTATGTCAATATGCATGACCAATGGAAGCAAACTGTGTAACAGAATACTCACCACTGTCAGTAATCTGCACTCTGTAAGGAGCCATGCTTATAGAACTACCATTATCTGAAAACAAGATCAAATGATTTATAGAGGTTAGCCTTAGTGTACTTGAAGATGTCTGTTCCTGCACTTAAGTTGAAGCATTAAAAAGAAATTAAAAGAGATCACAAGAAATATCACCAACTCTGTCCTCAAAATTTGTATAAAATTGAGCTTAGATAGTTCAATGGTTACGCATGCAGAGCTGAATATAGTAGCATATGAGTCTATTATCTCAGTGTGACTCTTTGGAGAGATGGGAGCCTGAGACAGGAGGATGACCCTGTGTCAAACAAGGTGAAAAGGGAGGAACCAGCACCTGAAGGTTATCCCCTGCACCCATACACAGGAACAGCAATGGCCACACATCTTGAATTTCAACACACAAAGCCAAGAGCTCAGTTTAAAGGGTTTCAAGGAATCCAGTGGCCAGACATCAGGGCACTGACCTCTACTCAATCAATTCCAGTCTCATAGATAAAAGATATTAGTTACCATGGGCCTGGAATAGTTTACTTATTGACAAAAGAGTTAAAAACAAACTAAACTTGATCCAGAAAGCTTTTCTATTCTTACACACAAATTGCTTTTCCTTCTTCTTCTTTTTAAATTGTTGTTGGGTGGTTGAACCCAGGAATTCACACAGACTAAGCTATGTTGTGAATCCTGACATTTATTTTTTTAAAAGAAGACTGCATCCCAATCTGTAGGTTGCCAATTTGTCCTATTGACTATGCCCTTTGCCTCAGAAGCATTTCCGTTTCATGAGGTCCCATTTGTCAATTCTTGATCTTAGAGCCTGAGCCATTGGAGTTCTGTTTAGGAAATTCCACCCCCCTCCCCAACTCCCTGTGCCGATGAGCTCCAGGCTCTTTCCCACTTTCTCTTCTATTAGATTCAGCCTATCTGGTTTTATGTTGAGTTCCTTGATCCACTTGGACTTGAGCTTTGTGCAAGGTGAAAAATACGAATTTATTTTCATTTTTCTATATATCAGCTACCAGTTAGACCAGCACCATTTATTGAAGATACTTTCTTTTGTCCATTGTATATGTTTGGCTTCTTTGTCAAAGATCAAGTGCCCATAAGTGTGTAGTTTTGTTTATGGGTCTTCAATTCTATTCCATTTGTCAATCTGTCTGTACCAATACCATGTAGGTTTTTATCACTATTTCTCTGTAGTACAGATTGAGGTCAGGGATGGTGATTCCCCCAGAAGTTCTTTTATTGCTAAGAATTGTTTTCACTATCCTGGGTTTTTTGTTTTCCCACATGAAATTGAGAATTGTTCTTTCCATGTCTTAGAAGAATTGTGTTGGAATTTTGATGGAAATTGCACTGAATCTGTAGATTGCTTTTGGTAGGATGGCCATTTTTACTATTCTAATCATACTAATCCATGAGTAAGGGAGATCTCTCCATTTTTGATGTCTTCTTTGATTTTTTTCTTGAGAAACTTAAAGTTCTTGTCATACAGATTTTTCACTTGTTTGCTTAGGGTTACCCCAAGATATTTTATATTATTTGTGACTATTGTGAAGGGTATTGTTTCCCTATTTTCTTTCTCAGCCTGTTTATCCTTTGTATAAAGGAAGGCTACTGATTTCCTTGAGTTCAGTCACTTTAAAGGGCTAATATCCAAAATATATAAAGAACTGAAAGCCTGGAGAGATGGCTCAGTGGTTAAGAGCACTGATTCCTCTTCCAAAGGTCCTGAGTTCAATTCCTAGCAACCACATGGTGGCTCACAACCATCTGCAATGTGATCTGACGCCCTCTTCTTATGTGTCTGAAGACTGCAGTGTACTTATATACATAAAATAAATAAATAAATCTTTAAAAAAAAAAAGAACTCAAGAAACTAACCACCAAAAACCCAAACAACTCAATCAAAAAGTGGGGTATAGAGCTAAACAGAGAATTCTCACCAGAGGAATTGTGAATGGCTGAGAAGCACTTAAAGAACTGTTGAAAGTTTTTAGTCATCAAAGAAATGCAAATCAAAACAACACTGAGATTCTGCCTCACACCAATCAGAATCACAAAGATCAAAAACTCAGGTGACTTCACATGTTGGCGAGGATGTGGAGAAAGAAGAACACTCCTCCATTGCTGATGAGATTGGTACAACCCCTCTGGAAATCAATGTGGAGGTTCCTAAAATAAAATTGGAAATAGATCTGCCTAAAGACTCAGCTATACAACTCTTGAACATGTACCCAAAAAGTGCCCCACCATACCACAGGGGCACGTGCTCCACTACGTTCATAGCAGCCTTATCTGTGATAGCCAGAAACTGGAAACAACCCAGATGTCCCATAACGGAAGAATGGATAAAAAAATGTTCATTTAAACAATGGAATACCGTTCAGCTATTAATAACTAGGACATCATGAGTTTTGCAAGCAAATGGATGGAACTAGAAAATATCCTGAGTGAGCTAACTCAGACCCAAAAGGATATGCATGGTATGTACTCACTAATAAATGGATATTAGCCAAAAAAAAAAAAGTACAGAATACCCAGGATATAATCCACAGAACTCAAGAAGGTTAACAAGCCGAAGGGCCCAAGTAAAGATGCTTTAATCCCACTTGGGAGGGAGAAGAAAACAATCATGGGAGGCAGAGGAAAGGAGGGACCTAGGTGTGAGGGGGAGGGGGAGGGATCTATCTCAAGGGGAGGCTCCAAGGCCTGACACTATTATTGATGCTATGGTGTGCTTATAGACAGGAGCCTAGCATGGCTGTCCTCCAAGAGGCCCAACAAGCAGCTGCATGAGACAGATGCAGATATTTACACTCAACCAATGGAGTGAAGTCGGGAACCCCTGCGGTTGAATTAGGGAAAGGCTGGAAGAAGCTGAGGAGGAAGCCAACCCCATAGGAAGACCAGCAGTCTCAACTAACTGGGACTCCTGAGATCTCTCAGACAGTGAGACACCAACCAGGCAGCATACAATAGATGATAAAGTCCCCAACACATATATAGCTTAGGACTGCCTGGTCTGGCCTCAGTGACAAAAGAGGAACCTAACCCTGGAGAAACTTAAGGCCCCAGGGAGTGGGGAGGCCTGGTGGTAGAGGGGGGCATGGGAGGAAGGAGGAGAACATTTCATGGAGACAGAGGGAGGAGAAATGGGATGTGGAACTGTGGAAGGGCAGACCAGGAAGAAGGTAAGGACTGGACTGTGAAAAAAATAAAAGTTATAATAAAGTAATAATTTAAAAGTTTATTATTTTAAAAAAAGACTACCTCTTTCTGTTCTTTTGTCTCAAGAACTAATTTTAACTTTAATTAAAATTATACACATTGTAATAATTTTATAGATAATAACCACTAGAAACACAAATTAGGTGTGCAACTATTTTTATTAATGTTATTTTTGCATCATGAAGCACTTTGGGGTTACAATTAGATCTTTTAATTCAATGAGAACCATTTAAACTCCCAAGTTAATTGAACAAAAGAACTATATTAGTTAGGAATTTAGGGATGTACCTCTTGAAAGTCAAACTTGAATCAACTGAGACAAGAGATTTCATGAGAAGAATCATTAGTATTTTATGTTTCAGTGACAGCAAGTCCTGGAGTACATGACCACATCCAGGAAAAAGGTGAAACACCCTTCATGCTGGCCACGTCAAGGGTATGGGTGGAATGTAGACACAAGAAGAGTACTGGATAGGCTACTAGTTCAACCAAAAATAAATAAAGTAAAAATAAGCACAGATTCTACAAGTTCATGCAATACTACATAAAGGAAGGTAATGTGCAGCGTTGTAAGCTGGCATTAAGGCAGTCTTTTACTGTTTTGGTTCGTCTTCCTCCTCTATCCTCCTCATCCCTCTTCCCTTTTGCCTCCTAAGACAATAAACAGTCAAACCAATGAATGAATATCTTTAAAACTTCGAAATAAAAGTGCCTCGCTCCCTTTCTTAGCTCCCTTCCCACTTTCTCCTTATGCCTAAGTTTTCGCTGGACAAACTGCCCCTCAGAGCGCACATACAGCATCGCTAGTGTTAGTGCTAGAACCGTTTCAGAGTGGTCTATGTTATGGTGAGGGCTCGGGGTTGCTTCAGAGTTGCGGGCTCAGGCTCTCCACTATGCGTTTGCACACTCAGGATTCATCTCCTCGTCCTGTGGGCTCTGGGATTTGGATGCATGCTCCTGGTCCTGCCTCTTCTTCAGCTGCTGCATTTTCATGTTTAGATCCAGTAAAGTTCGGGCGAGCTGATGGTTCTGGAAACGCAGTTCCAGCTAAAAGAAAAAAAAATAATAATAAGGGATTTTATTAGTTTGCGATATAGATCAAATGAAACTGCTCTCCGACCGCACATGAGCAATAAGGAATGGGTAGGAAAGGGAAATAAGACAGAAAGATGTATTTCTCACCTTACTCTCCCATTCTGACTTTCGGGCCTGGCTATTAAAGTAGCTTTTTCTACAACAAGGTAAAAACCCAGATAAATAAATAGCTTTTGAAATGGCCTTGAAATGAAAACAGAAAGCGCTGACGCACAAAGCTGTCCGCGTGAAAAATACCTATGCACCAAAGGCTGTTTTCAAGCAGTGGCGTGGGGGATCGTAGTGAAATCCTTTATTTTTATGAGCTTTCTGAGCCTCCGGGTAACTGCCTGGGGCCACCTGAGTGCTCGGGATCTGGGCCCATTTACTTGATGACTTGTCATTTCAAGTTTTCAGGATTTTAAATGGCCTCCCTGCAGAGTGAAAACAGGTAATGACACCTCAGAGGCACATGTATCGTTATATGTCCTTATATAAGCTAACACTTTGCACTCTAAAACAAAGCCTGTTATGTAGCAAGGCTGATTCATAACCTCCTCCAAGGGGAGTTTATGAGGCCCTTGTGTGTTCAAATAAAATTTTAAAAATTACATCTCCAAGGACAGGTTGCTTAGAAGGCAGTCCGCCAACAAAGTTTGTTCCAGCTGAAGATCAATTACTTGCATATTCCTCCAGTTGAGTCATGCTTCATGCATTTTGTAAAATAACATTTTCTGTGTACCATCCTGATCAACTCAGCAACAGTAGCCCTCAAGATAAGTTAATAGTTAACTGTAATAGTTAACTGCCAATACTGCAGTGGTGATTCCTTCTCAATTTGCAAAGTAAAATATTGGGCAGACGTATCATTTTATTTTCCTCCAATATTTATGTTTTTATTCTTTTGCACTTGGGGCCATTTCTCTGGAAGCAAGAATTAGAAAGGATAAAGGAAACAGAGATCCACGCCACCCAGCAGACAGAAACAAACCACACTGCCATCACCATAAAAATTCCCCATCACGGGCTGGAGAGATGGCTCAGCGGTTAAGAGCACTGACTGCTCTTCCAGAGGTCCTGGGTTCGATTCCCAGAAACCACACGGTGGCTCACAACCATCTGTAATGGGATCCGATGCCCTCTTCTGATGTGTCTGAAGAGAGCGACAGTGTACTTACCATATGAAATAAATAAATAAATCTTAAAAAAAAAAATCCCCAGTCATTTACCCAAGACTGTCTTCTGATGCCTCGGGCTCTAGAATCCTTCCCTACATGGTTAGCTTTATGTCCTAGCACTGTCTCCTTGCCTGCTCCTATCACAGGTCTCCAAGGGAATGCCATGCTGAGCCACGCCTCTGTCGGACCCCGGGGGATCTAAGATGCACCTTGCCACTCCTCCCTCCATGGAATGCAATTAAGTATCAACAGTTGCTGAGAAGCCTCCCTGTAATCAAGGCCAGGCACAGTTGCCTCCTTAATCATGCAGCCGTGCTCTTCCGGCTCTATGCCTCTGATAACACAGAGACTGCGTTACACCCGGGCTGCTGTGGGCGGAACTGTGCTACATTTTAATGATTGCATTCTCAGTACGGAGTGCCTGCCTCCGCATCCATGGGAGGGTCTCTGTGTCCTTGTCGAAAGACTGAGTGAATGAAGGGATGAGTCAACAAGGTGATGGATATCTGTCCTCTACCTTCTCTGTCAAGTATCCAGGGGTAAAATTACTGATAATGATTCACCTATCTAAGCACAGGACGTGCGATTCACACTTATTTAGAGAATTCAAACACTCAAGGCTTTTTACATGTCTTTCATCGTAGATCCCTTTGAGAGTCTGATGAAAGCTGTAAAACTTCTCTGAAAGGTGAGAAAAGGGACTTTATATACCTAGAAAACTTTAGGTTTAACTCCAGAAATCCGAAGAACTTAGAAATCAATGCCATCCATTAGGAAGAGTAAGCCAAACAGACATACATGACGACACTGATTCATTGTCGTTCCTTAGACAAACTCCATCGTGACACCCGATGCCTCTGCATCCCATACATAGGAGCACTCGTTGCCACAGAGGTTTAGCTAATGATCCAGATCAAAACCTAATTCTAATGATGATCCCGAGGTAAGTAACCACTCCTTTGCTTATGTCTTATGGTCAGTCACCCGGCCTAGGGAGTTCCTGCAAATGCTGACGGGGGGCCTACACTCCAGGAAAACAGCATCTGGTTATATGCAAAATTCTCTGCTTCCTTTCCAGAGCAAAACTCTTTTTAATTTTTTTCTCATTTCTGTACTTGTACATATCTATGTTTGCATGTGTGAGTGCAGGCATGCTTGTGCTATGAGCGTTCCCGTGTGGAGGGGGCAAGGAGTGGGCTTTCTCCAGTGTGTGGGGGGATCAGGGCTTCAGGCCTGTCCACATGTGCCTCTAAAGCGCCATCTTGCTGGCTCAGTTCTCAATTCTCGAAATGTTCATATTTGTCCTTCTAGGCCCAATCGGCTTCCAAGATCTATAATATAATAACAACAGTCAATAAAGAGTGCATCTGGCCAAGGCATGTCATATACTATCATCTCATGTAATTATGACGGTAATCTCGCGGCGTTATCTCTACGTCACAGATGAGTAAACCAACTCAAGTCTACTAATTCTCGGTCTCAAAGCTAGAGGGCCAGCAGGTATTCACAGAGCCCATGATTCCCTACCTTCCCTCACCCATTATACCTTACTTGTCTAAGCCTCCTATTGATGAAGCAGCTTGCTGGAATGTTAGGGTAAAGGTGCCTCAGAGCTTGTCCAGCTTGACCTCCATACGCGTCAGCAAGAGAGGAGGGGAGGGATGACACAGTAGCATAGGGGTTTGGTTCAGTCAGGCCTAGGCATTCCAGTGTGGAATCCTGAGCCACAGCACTAACCTCCCTGTGTGTAGTAGGCGGTCTCACCAGGCAATGACCTGGCTTTACCAGCCAGCTTTTTTACCATTTTGACCACACACACCACTGGATCAAGCATAATGAATTCCTTATCAAATTCAAATTGTTAATATGGTTAAATCGGATTTACTATCAGGCTGCCCTTCTTAAAGCCGGACATGAGCTCGATCACCCGCTGAGGTTCCTAAACTGTTCTGAAGAAGTGGTTAGTTGTCACATTGAATCCAGAGAACTCTCCAAGTCTCCAGTACGCAGCATTCATATGCTTCGCCATTTGAAAGCCTTTATATTCTTGTCCTTTTCAAATTGTCAAATTTAAATTTTTTTTAATTTTTTTTTTTAAAAAGGTGATCTACGAACACTCTTCCCTGTTGAACTGCCACTTATTTTCTGAATTCTTAGCAAGGGATAAAATAAAAATAATTGCCATCACTTAGAGTTTCTTATACATCCATCTTGGTTGTTGGTTCCATTGAAATTTCTGTCTCTGCACCCAAAATATAGATATACTAAGAACTTGCTATGGGGAAGCTTCTAGAAGATAGAAAACTACAGAAACAGAGTGGGGAGGGGCTCCTGGAGTCTGGGCCAGTCACTGGACTGTAGGCCAAGCCCTGATCGCTGGAGCTGTGACCTTAAGGAGGCCTCAACAGCGAGTCCAGAAGAAATCGGACGCCCTGGAGTAATCTCCCTCCCCGGCATCAACCCCACCCCGGGGGTCCTCCTATGGGCTACGGCTCCAGCTTCGAAACCACGGACTCGGGCCCGCGAGCCCCGCCGCACAGCCCGGGCTCACCAGCTCCGCGCGCAGCCGGGCCAGGGCGCACTCCATGCGCGCCCGGCTCCGCTCCTCCCGCGCTGCCGCCGCCGCCGCCGCTACCGCCGCCACCGCCTCCCGCGCGCGCCTGGCGCGTCCGCGTGCTGCCGCCCGCTGGAAGGCGCGCTCCAGCTGCCTCCGGAGATGCTCCAGCACCAGGCTGGACGCCCGGGCGTGCTCTGGCGCCTCGATGCGCCAGTTGCCGCAAGGCATGCGGTGCACCGGGTGGAAGGCTGGGGACCACAGCGTAGCCCTTCCAGAGACTCCATAGAGTCCCCGGGTCATCCTCTGTCTGCAGTGGCTGTAGTCACCCAAGCCCATCGTGATCCTTTTCTGCAGCGCTCGGACTGGGGATTTGGTTGCAAGTTGGAGCTTTTTAAGGCCGATGGGGCGGGGGCGGGGGCAGTTAACGGAACAGGCAGGACCCTGGCCGTGGACGCTGTTACTGCTGGGCCACTCAGAGCGCTGTTCTGCTCCTTGTCCATCTCCTCTGTCTTCCCTACCTCATAGCAACAAGGGAGGGAGGCCTTGTGACCAGAAGTTCGGGCTGTATTTTTCCCCCTAGCCTTCTAGGGCTCCGGTTTTGAGAATGTATGGAGACTGGTACAGTCAACCCTTGCTGATAAAAGCCGAGGAACTAGCTGAGGATTATTAGCAACGCAAAGAAATCTTGAACAGGACCCTTCCCAGTTGCCTATTTCTTAGTACTGTACACTTTTGAAATGGTTTCTGACATTTTACGCTTTTAACATTAAGGGTGTGATAGAATCTAGACACCATTCCGATCTGATACCCAAGTATTATCCACAGTCCGCGGTGAGAATTTCATTTCGGTCCGGTTTGCAAGTCAGACCATCTTTCTAATTAACTTTCTATGATCCCAGTAGCCCGGAGTTCTGAATTTCAGTGCTTCTCTTTAACCCTGATGACCTCTTAGCGAGTCTACATATAGGAAAGGATTAAAAAAAAAAATCAACACCTTCCTGTATTCCAAAGTGTGCGATGGTATAATTCCCAGTCCAACATAATCATGAGCTAATAACGATTATCCACATCATATAAAGTATATTTTAATCCCTCTTTTGGAGCTAATTGAATGTTTCTTTACAGGAATGAACAGTCAAAACCTCTGTGGTCATAGACATTTTCAAGAAGAAACAACAGTAGCAGAAACAAACATAGTACTCTCCCCAAGAAACTGATGGTCCATCTCTAAAAGATCGGTCCATTGTCTGAAGTGTCAATAGTAGGCATAAAAGATAACAAGAGCGCACTTATTTTTGTTGTTGTTGTCTTGTTTGTTTTTTTGAGACAGGGTTTCTCTGTGTAGCCCTGGCTGTCCTGGAACTCACTCTGTAGACCAGGCTGGCCTCGAACTCAGAAATCTGCCTGCCTCTGCCTCCCAAGTGCCGGGATTAAAGGCATGCGCCACCACTGCCCAGCTGCAAGAGTGCACTTATACTGTATGCCTTATAGTATGTTATATATTATTATAGTTCTTATTATATGCCAGCCACTTCAACTATTAACCTATATAATCTTTACACAACCCTAGGAAATATATACTATTTTTTCCATATTTTTCCAAATGAGGAAAGTGACGGTGGAAAGTCCACATGCATACCCACCAACAAGTCACTCAAACCCAAGTGGTCTGCTCACAATTCATGCCTTGGAAGTATGGCTTGTGCACGCCAATCGCTGAGATATACTTTCCTCCCAAAGAAAGAAAATTGCACTCGTGAGCAAGAGCTCAGGCTCTGTGGGCTCATCAAATTCAGCTCTACTCAAATGGCCTCAGTCTTCACAGGATAAGGAATACAGGTTACCCAGCCTCTACGGATAATCAGTGTCAGATAGTTCACAGCTTAAGTCCGGGCTTCTCTTATCATTGTGTAAAGAGACTCTAGAAACATTTGAAAATGTAGTCTATCAGTAGAAAGTGAGAACTTTAGGGCCTGGGAACACTGAGAAAAATGCTTACGAAACAAGAATAAAGACATAAGTTTGTATTCCTAGAACACATGAGAAAAGACCAGATGGCTATGCCTGTAATTCCGGCACTGAGGAGGCAGAGACAGAAAGACTTGGTGGAGCTTGGTGACCAGCCAGTCTCAGTGAGCTCTAGGCTCAGTGAGGCCATTTCTCAAAAATTAAGATAGAATACAACTGAGAAAGACATTGGGGGTTGGAGAGGTGGCTCAGTGGTTAAGAGCACTGACGTCATGAGTTCAATTCCCAGCACCACATGGTGGCTCACAACCATCTGCAATGGAATCTGATGCCCTCTTCTGGTGTGTCTGAAGACAGCTACAGTCCACTCATATGCATAAAATAAATAAATAAGTCTTTAACAAAAACAAAAAAAATATGAAAAAAAAAAGAAAGAAAGACATTGGACATCGAGCTCTGGTTTCCATATGCTCATGTGCATACAGAACGGTGGGGGGGGGGGAAGGAGGGAGGGAAGAAAGGAAAGGAAGGGAAGGAAAGAATGGAAAAGGAAAGGCATAAAAAACACAATAACATGAATGGGCAATGGTTCCTCAGTTAAAGCACTTGACAAATAAGCAATAAGATCGGAGTTTGGATCAGCCAAACCCTCACAAATGTCAGGTGAGTGTGGCAGGCAACCTTAATCCATCCTTTGAAGGCAGAGACAGGGGATCCCCAGAGAAAGCAGGCTAGTGAAACTAACTGTACAAGAAAACATTGAGCTTGGTTAAAAATAGCTCTGCCTCAAAGTATAAGGTAGAAGAGCTATCAGAGCAAGAGTCCTACCATCAAACTCCACATACAGAAACACCCATGCCCTCTTGCACACACCACACACACACACAGAGAGGGGGGGAGAGCAATATTTATTATTATTCCTCCGTTTCTATGAATGATTTTGGAGATGACTTGGACCACAGTTCAGCCCTCCTGTCCCATGCAAAGGGAGCTTCAATATGTGAGGTAGGAAAGTAAGGAGGCAGGCAAGGAGAGAAGAGATGATCAGACCAGCCTAGCACTGAATCAAACACGGAATATTAATGAAGCGCCCAGAATAGTTCCAAAACGATAAGGTGGATCTTCTTGAGAAGAACAGAGTATCATCTCATAGTATCTATCCCTGTAGTGTGCTTCTTCAATGCACGCGTACAAAGCGGGTCACACAGTCCATTTCTAGGTCGTGCCATATCGTCAGTCTCAAGTGCAACAAGCTGACAGCTGACTTTCTTGGAGTGTGTTATGCCTGGGATAATATAGTCACCAAGTAAGGAAAAGGCAGGAGTAGGATTTAATTCCACATCTACTTGGCTCCAAGGGTCATGTTACTTCCCTTCCGTTACACCAAGCTACATAGACTGGCTTAAACAGTGCTGGTTCTGTAGTGCTGTCACCTGAACAGATCTTTCGTTGCCTCATGTTTCTGCCCTTACATTTTAAAGCCACCTCTCTGTGTCTCTTTGGACATCAGGAGGAGTTTGCATCACACAACGGGCTTCCATTTTATACACTTCTGCAGTGAAACAAAGCAGAGAATTCTTTACACTGAACCCTAATGCCATCTCTGAAATCCTGTAAGGAAATTGGTTGGTTACCAAAATCATCAGTGATCTACGTGACAAAAGATGAACAAATACTGAGTGGAGCTCACACCTACATCTTTCAAATAATACAGCTACAACGGGCCTTCTCTGCCTGGTCACCGCTCCCTGGGAAACCTTCATCCCTGTTCCTTTATGTGTTCCCTATCTGTGCCTTGGGAGGCTCGAGTCTAAGGCCACTCCTTCAGCCCTCCTCTATGACAATCACTCTTTCAAGCAACAGGCTCTGAGTGTTCCCTCTGCAAATAGAATGTCCTTGAACACTCCTTGCAGAAAGAAACAAGTATGTCTCCCGGATCCTGAGACAAGAGAATTTTCCTTATAAGCCTTAAAATAAATATTTGTCATATTTCCATGAATAGCTTAATAGTTCGGCCCATTCAAGACTCTGTGGGGAGCCTGGAGCATTCATTTTCTGGTTAACTAGGGGCTAGCAAACATTCTCTTCTTGTGGAATGTCCAAAAGCCATTCACTGTCTTTTTTTTACTTCATTTCCCAGGATTCTGGGAGCAAAGGATTCTCAGCCCTATCCCTTGCTAGTCATGTGACTTTGTATAAACACTCTGGTTTAATTTGTTTACAAGTTAGATAAGGGACAAGGGATGAGGGGTCTCCTTACTCAGTTGTCCAGTAAAGTAGCAGAAGCTTCCAGCAAGGCACTGGGCAGCTCCAGCAAGGCTCAGAACGATTCATGGGAAAGCTTTACAATAAAATTCACAGTTTATTTAGATGGAAACAAACAACAAAAAACTGATTTCTTTCATCAGAGATACTACTACTTTCATAATGTTTCTAAATAAACCACAAGGCCTCTATTCTTACAGGTTTTTCTTTCCAAATAAAGGCAAGGCAAGAAATATAATCTAATCATGCAAAAACGCAGATTCAGATAGGCAAACCAGTTACCTCAACGAGTGGCCTCAGATTCTGTGGAAACTATGAGCCAGAGGTATCTGACATTTACATTCTAAAGGGCTTATAGAAAAAAAGAAGGCTCGCCAAAGGAAACCATATTGCCCACACCACATACGGAGCAGGAATGGCAGGCTCTTCCATTCCTTTAACTGTAACTTGTTCTTCCTTTAAGTTCATTTAAAAAAAAAAAAAAAGACAAAAGCTACAGCAAAACTCTCCTGGGCTCACAAACCTCTCTCCAGAAATTCCTGTAGCTGTCCATTATAATTGGTTTTGTTCATTGATTTTTTTTTCAGTGCAAAGCCATGCACATACTAGTAAATATTCTATCACTGAGCTGTATTCTCTGTCCTTGGTTTTTAAAAACAAGAGTCTCACTGTAGAGTCCAGGCTGGTCTTGACTTTATTCTGTAACCCAGGCTAACTTAAAACTTGAATTCTCCTGGTAGGACTCCCTGGTGCTGCCATTATAGACTTTTAACAACTCACTCAAAACTCCTGCTAGTGAAAAGCCAATAGTGGACTTTAATGTAAGACTTTATATTACATATACATGTATATATGCATATATATGCATATATATTTATATATATAAATAATATATATAAATAATATATAATATCATAATATTATAATATATAGTATTATAATATTATAATATATATTATAAATAATATATAAATAATATGTATATATGCATATATATATTATTATTATTTCCATACCTTCTCAAAACCTTGATAACTCAACATCCACCACAGAGATAATACATGTTATGTCTAAAATGAATCATGTGACTTTAATTCCAGTACTTGGGAGGTAGACACAGATGAGTCTCTGTGAGTTGGGGGCCAGGTTTGTCTAAATAGTGAGTTCCAGGA